AAAAAAAAAAAGCTTGTTAAGACTTTAGAAGTTTAAATTTTACAGCATTTACCTAAAAATACCAACAACAGTTTTTACAATACAGTCTCACTCTTTAATTAAATAATAAATGCAGCCATCTTAATTATATTCAGCACAAACAAAGGCAGATCCCTTACCGTATGGTAAACTGGCCACTTATCTACTCCCAAATAATAAATCAACACGCTTTTTGGAATGAGAATCTTAAAAAGAATATTTTTTTTCCAGAAACACAACTGTGCTAAAATGTAAGTCATTACCTGAATTGTATGTATAAATTAGGCACCCCAGCATTTAGATACTTTGAAAATCTGGCTTTAGGTTTTTGCCTAATTCATGCCAAGGGAAAAAAACACAAAACTGACTGTTAGGCTAGGGACAGACATTATGCAAACTGGTTTAAGTGATGAAAACTGGTTTAAACCTGTAACAGAACAGTGCACCTAAATCGGTTTGAAAATGGCTGCAACCGGTTTGAGAGAAACCTGTTTGACTGTAGCATCAGACTTAATTGATTTGGGTTAAACTGGTTTATGCAATGCCTGTCCCAGACCCCTTCCTGGTTTAAGTTAAACCAGACTCCCGCAGCATCCCAGCATGCTCTCTGGGCTGAGCAGGGCTCTCTCCTCCATGGCAGGGCTGGCTGGCCCCTCCCCTGAACTGAATCAATTCAGGCGCAGACTTTTTGAGCGTCTGTCCCTGAGAAAGACCCAATAGGCATCTTCCAGTGCACTACAATGGATCAGGGCCAAAATGAGTTTCTTCTCATCCTGGGATAGATTTTGTCGGAGTCAAGATGGATGTTAAATACTGAGTTTTCAAAGGACTGTGTTAGATGGCAGTCAGATAAAGTGTTCTGAGCACTGTGCCAAAAACAGAGATCATTGCAGGGATTGCTTCTGTAACAGGATTTGGTAAAAGTGTACCTACTCTTGCAGGACACTGTAAATACAGCAAAGGTGAGGGACAAAGTATTAGGACTTATGTTTCAAAACATCAGCAGTTGCATTTGCAAATAAAACTTCCAAACATACAAGCAAATTGAATCTAATTCTGCCCCTCCACTCTTTCAAAGCATCTGCCAGCTAAACTAAATCATTCTAATTTTCTACAGCACTTAATAAAAAAAAGAAAGAAAAGCAAAACAAAGAAGAGAAATCCCCCAAATCCCTCAGTGTTAATACGACTTATTGAACAGGTGGTCAAAGCAACCAAATCAGCTTTATATTTGAAGACTTGTGGCAACTCTAAGAACTTTCCCAACTCTACCTGGTTTAGATCCTTCATCAACAGATCCATTATAGACTTGGTTTATAAACTCAGGTCTGTTGTCATTCATATCAATCACATAGATGTAGAGGTCAATGGGGTTCTCCACCTTGTTTCCATTCATATCGACTGCATGAGCCCTGAGCTGGAAATAAACACAATGGAAACATGTCATCAGCACAGTATGGTCTAAATGGAAGACAGTATTTTGCTAGTGTTGACTTCTAAGCTTATATCTTTATCACAAATTGTTCTCTCTAGATCAGGAGTGCTCAACCCCCAGCCCACAGGGCAGATCCAGCTTGCGGGGCTCCTCGAGGGTCCAGCAGTTTGGCAGCAGGAGAGTGAAGGCAATTAATACGGCCACTGCTCCTCCATTGCCAAATTTTCAAGCTCTATGAGCCACATGACATGGCCCCATAAGTCAGATCTGGCTTGAATGTGCAGGGCTGGGGTAGTGGACCCAATCCAGTATGATCCAGTATGCATGGGCGAGGGGTCAGGGCTGTGGCAAGAGGCTCATCCAACATGCAGAATCAGGGCTGCCGGTGCAATACAGCATGTGGGGCTGGATCAAGCCCCTAGAACAACCCCGCACTGTTCATCTGGCCCAAGGGGCCAAAAGTCTGGGCACCACCGCTTTCAATATTAGTATTCCCAGCAGAAAGCGGACATTTGTTTTTCATCTAAGCTATGCAGGATACACATTATTTCACAACAGGACACAAGGCTAAAATAATTTAAAAATAAAAGTCAACAGAAACAATACCATTCTGGCTTAGAGACTTTGTTTTCTTTGCTGCTAACAGATCATTATATTTAAGTATGTTTTAAAATAAGACACTTAATGTAGCAATCTGCTCAGATTAAGTTTTGCCTGCTACTAACTGAAGTTAGGGCATGAGTTCATTTCGCTAAGACCACCAGGGATTTAACGCAGAATCCCAAAGCACCCTGTGGCCACAAAACACATGTAGCAATTACAGACCGATGGGATCTTATAATTGTTGACAGTCTCATCTATTATTGGTATTGCCGCGCTACCAGGCTCCATACAGGCACAAAACAAAGACTGCCCCTGCCCAACAGGAGATTTTTTTCAGAGGGCAGGGACCCCATATACAGTAAAGAATAAAACACCTTCCTCAGCCTTCGCTACGACATCACTGATGCAATGTTACAATACCCAGCAGTGTACTGCTGAGTGCTCAGTTCAAAAGGCCCTGGGGCTCTACCTGATGAGGAACAACCATCAGAAATAATGCTGAAAAACCAAGAGCATCTGTTTGCAGGGTAAAAGGAACAGATCCAGCATGTCAAAATGAGTAATTAATAAAACAAAGCAATCAACAATAGTCTGCAACAATCACTAATCAGGTGAGGGGGAAAAAAAAAATGAAAAGCTTCCTTGTTATAAGGAACAGATGGCTGCCCTAAATGGGGTGCGCGCAGAATGTATGTGTTGATGTTGGCCAGGAAGGAAGGCGGACGATGGGAGTCTTGTCTGATCCGTGCTGGGCGATGGAGGGACATCTGGCTCTCTGAGAGCTCTGCAGATTGGTTTTGTCACCCTCTCTTCATTTCAGCACCGCTGAATGTTGCTGACCTGCCGTGGCGACATTAAAATCGGGGCCCGTGTTCAAACCCGGTGCTGAGTTCTGAAAGGTGGATGAATGAGGAACAAAAGCTCCAGATAAAAGTAGCTCGGTGAAAAAAAAAACTGCTTAAAAAAATAAGGCTGTCACTTCAACACTGGATCAACAGGTAGGCTTACCTAACTGGCCCTTATTGCAGTCCTCACATTATACACCACCTGTTAGCATGCTTTTCCCTGCAAGACTGCTAATGTATAATGGCCTAGCTTTTCAGAGGTAATGAGCACTTCCAGTCCCTACTGACACCTTCAATTGGAGTTGTGGATGCTCAGCATTGCAAAAATTCAGACCCAATGCGCCAAAGAAAGTGTGCACAGCAAGTGAATGTGGTAATAGTCTTAGTACTGCCTTCTACTTTTTGCTTTTGCCAGGCCTGCAATTGATGGGATTTCTACCTCTTCATGTAGGTTAAGAAGTCCGGGGCTTGACAAAAAGAGCTACGTTGTATTATGATAGGCTGGATTAACTTTTGAACTAGGGAAGAGAGCAAAGAGCCAGGAGAAATCTAACGGTAGGGGGGTGGAAAATGTAAAAAGAGGTTGAAAATTCCATTTTTTAAAAATACCCTGAAAAAGCAGGCTCCGTGATTAATATAGAACATGGCATTTGTATTTCATGACTCTTAATGCTCTTAATATCTGCATTTCATGCCTGCGAATAAACTGCTTTGACTTGTGTCAGTCGAGCTATCCTTCATCATGTCAGATGTAGCAATTCAATAACTTTACAAGTCAAAGGTCAGATTGTCTTTGAAAAAAAGTAATTCGGAGCTAAAATTAAAGTTATTATCTTCAAACTGAAGCAGCGCTGGGCTCCTTCTTGCTGTATTTCCAGGAGCGGAAATGGCTTCATTCAGAGATAAAGCAGAGTGTAAAGCCAATATCTTTCTCTTACAGATCTGACTCCCATCCCCTGAAACTTTTAATTACATTTGATAGCTCTTGTTTGAAATCTCCAGGAGTAAGTAATTTCTCACCGCTGCAAGTCTATCTTCTTGCCACACTCACCGAGGCAATGTACATATGCACAGGTTTTGCTCAAGAAAAAAAAAAATTCAATAAGTACAAGCAGCAATCTTGCTAAACCTGCAGTGTTAGCCCTGAGCTCTCTGGCTAACATCAGTGTTAGATCCTCATGCTTGAATTATGAAGGGGAGAGCGGTGTTTGAAAGGAAGCACATCTGAACTGCGGCTTGTGCCTGGATGAACTGAATGGGATGTTTCCATTTATCATGCACTCCTGAGCACAGCACAACAGCATCCTCACTTCTTCTTGCTGGACTGTACTGATGGCTGAGAGCCCTTAAAAAGTTCTTCTTCTGTCATCTCCTGGTCCAGCACTCTTTCCTGGTTCTTTCCTTTTGGCCCATTTTTTCTCCCTTGCTCCTTATTTCTTCTTTTCCTTGGTCTTTTATTTTTCCTTGTATTTTCTGGGTTTTCTTTTCTTGCCTTTTGCGGGGGGGGGGGAGGTCTATGGTTTGGACTGCTCTCATGTTCCCTCACAACAAGCTGTGGGGTTGGAGCTGGCACTGTCATCACCCACAGCGTATTATTTCTCCCTGGGGAAGTTAAGCAGGGTTATAGAGAGAAGGGAGGATAACTCAAAGAACCCCCTGCTGCTTTGAGGACTGCTACACAGAGGGACACCAGGGATAAAGTATTTCCTCTGTCTTGCAATGCTGCTCCTTGAACTAGTGTCGAGTCCTTACATTGGGAAATGCAGACATCCCACATTTTCCATGCTTTTTCACTGATTGATTGAGTAAGCATTCCTTAAGGTTGAGATTTTTATATTGAAGCTGGTGGAGAGCATGGTCTTGGCTGCAGGTTAGTGGAGAAATAAATAGGACCAGTGGAAAATGCTGTAATAAAACCATTTTTTAAATTGGATTCCTAAATGTGTTGATCAAAAGTCTAACTAGTAGGTCAAACATTAGCTGGTGGAAGATGACACAGTTCTACTTTACAACAGGCAAAGAGGGGGTATGGTATCCTTTAAGAAATATTTTTAAAGTTATGACAATCTTCATTAACATACTTAGCAGCCATCCCCATATGTGCCTGAGGTTTTTCTGCAGACAATTTCCAGTGTAAACATAGCTGTTGGCATACAAATGATTCAGTATCAGGATTATTGATTACACAGGAGGAAGGTGATATCAGAAAGTAGTTACTCAAAGTCAACACCATGAATTGTGTTAAATGTAAATATTACATATGTACTAATACTATTAATATAAATATGTATTATCAATCAGCAACAACGCCTTTAAAATTAGATATACAATGCTACACCTAAATTATGCATACTTTATTGTGATGAAATGTCTTGATCAGGGCATTGGCAGTGCCATCATATCCCCTGCTTTTACTTGTGGCATGTTGTAGGACTCTCCTTGCTGTTTGGATTAGTACCTTATAGTTGGGTCTAGGGTGTGGTGTGGATGATTTTTAGGAATCTTTGGATAAATGGTGGCCTGCGAGCACAGAGGACCGGACTTGATGGCCCAGAAGTCCCCTTCAAGTCCAACATTCATAAATGATAGAGCTGGTAACTTTTTTGGTTCAAACTAGTGGAATTAATGCTAGTTTCTCTGGTTCACATTCGTTGTTTCCAATTATCTTTTTATCTCTTATTCACTGTAAATACTTCCTGCTCATCTTGCAACCAGCCTTCCCTGGTCCAGCCATTTCAGAGTATATCCTCAGAATGAAAGCATACAACTCCTCATTGGTAGTGTGTCAGGCTTGATTTAAAAATCAGCTCTCAGGTGTTAACTGAATACCTGATGAAGAATGTCTTGCATTTGAAAGCTTGTCTAACTTTATTTTAACCATGCAGTTGGTCCAAAAAGATATCACTCCAAAAAAAAAAAATCCTTCCCTCTTGAATATCAGAGTCATCTGACTATGAAAGTTAAGCTTGGATAAGCAGACTGCTGTTCAAGTGGTCACTGCACGGATATAGAGAGAAGGGAGAGGATGACTCAAGGAACCACCTGCTGCTTGAGGAATGCTGCACATGGGACATCAGGAACATTGCTGTCCTGCAACACCGCTCCTTGAACTGGTCTTGAGTCCTTAAATTGGAAAATGCAGACATCCCACATTTCTGTACTTTTTGATTGAATTATATAGTAACCACTTGGAGACAAGGTCCTTTGGGTAAATCTGATATCTTTTTAAAGATCTTTAAAAGATATCAGATTTACCCAAAGAACCTTGTCTGCTTGTAGCCTTAGACCAACACGGCTACAACCTCCACCTATAGTAATCATTTAGGTTGGACTTTGATGGGGCTTGTGTTTTGATATAAATGCTTGAAAATATATTGAGAAACCCCAGCTTTGCCCTTTTCTACCTATTGTAAGGCCTACACGCATATCAGTTGGAGGTTCTAGCATTTGAAATGCTCAAAGAAACATCAGGCATCACTGATCTGATGCTAAGACCAGACTGCACATTTCAAGGGAACTCAGGCAATTGCCACA